TTTGATACCTTGATTGTCTGTTTTGATACTAAAAGATATAGCTCCTTATTTAGATCCCTTGACTTCAGTATATATTTAGTTTTGATGCTTCCGTAATTCTTTCCTTTTTGATGATCAGTTATCCTGCAAACATGGACAATTGATTATCATTAAAATCTTGCGCTAACAATCTCCCAAAAACTTTTTGGTGATGACAATATTTCATGAGATTTTGTAGTTGACTTGTGTCAGTTGCTCCCCCTAAATGATGTGCATAGAACTTTTGTATGCCAGTGTTTGGTAGTTCAGGGATTGATCTCCAGACAAATCTTGAATTTAACAATACACTTTTTAAATCTAACAATTAGTACTTAAAATGCTTACATGTTGGTATATATGTAAGAAAGTGAGAAACAAAAATCTTTGGGTGTGTTTTTGTACGAAGGAAATGTTTTCCATGAAAAATGCTTTCTTGAAAAATAAGTGGATTTCTACTAAATTAATTACCAATAATTAGACATCCCACTAACATTAATTGCTACTCATTTTTCCATTTAGCAAGTGAATTGACGTGGCCATATATAAGAGATAAGTATCATAATAAATACATATATTTAATTATAGATAGGTTTATAAATATCTCCTATTTAAAATACTAATCTATAAATCTTATTAAATAAATACATGTGCACATATATTGTAACTAAAGATTTTTTCATAAATATTTAAGACATTTTAGGAAGGCAATAAAATATATAATTTAATAAAATGTTAATTTAAAATTGATGTTCCCAAACACGAGGATTGTTACAATAAAAATTTTAAATTTAGATTCGTAAGACTTCAACATGGCTTGAATGACAACTATAAATATTCGAGGTGTTACATCTTTACCCTTTAGGACATTCGTCAGCGAATGAAGATAATACCACAAATAAAAGGCTAGAAATTTTTTCAAAATTTTGAAAATCTCCTTTATATTTTGGAATATCATAAACCTAGAACTCAGTCAAATCTCACCCATGTGCCTCTTAGAGAAATATTAGCATATGAACAAGAAGATGCTCAACTTAAATCTCCTCGACTAGAATGCAACACATAGCACAACTAAATAGTAAAACTTACCTCTATTCATTTACTCAAATAGGTGTGCATGAAATGGCATGTAATATACAAATAAGTATGTTGCATAAAATTCATGATATATAAATAAGTGAATACGAAAAATGCATAATTATGTGAATTAGTGAGTCTTAAAAGAATTAAGGACTTTAACCTATGCATATGTGGGCCTTGTAGGCATATGATGTAAATTTAGCTAAAAAAACATGTTAGTTATATGTAAATAAGTTATGAACTACACAACAATACACGCACTAGGCAAGTCGCGAAAATAAATTATTATCTTAAATTTAACGTGCGACCTTGTATTAAGGGAGATGTGAAACTGCTTCAAACATAAGCTCTCAAACTTTAAATCTTATAACGTACAAATAACTTAAGCTTGACATATGAGCATGTGTTCAATAATATTTAAACATATAAAGTTATAAAATCTATATCATTTTTACATCTTAAACATTTAACACATACACAATAGACTAAAAATTATAAAACAGATAACATTTAAACAAACAAGTTAGAAAATGTTTGACATATAGTTATGAAATTTTCAAGATGTATAGTTTACATATAATGATCTTTGTTATGTTATCCTTATAATATAAGGTGATTTATTAACATAAGAACAAATAGTTCATGATATATACTTTTTTTAGTATGGGAGAAGTTGATTTCTAATATATAGGCACACGCCATATAATCAAATATTTTTGAGAGACAAAAATATATGGGAAAATAAGTTTAGGACCATATAACATATGTGCTAATAATTAAGAATATAGCATATTCTCACATTTTCTGTGACGCACATAGAGTATAAGCAAATGATTTGGATAAAATAAATTTTATGAATAAATGGTCTATGAATAACATTTAGGTAGATAATCTAGAAAGAGTACCTAACATGTAATTACTAGGCTTTATACAACAGGTGACATATTATCATATGGACTGTAGCTTTGGAAAAAATGCATTTATGTCTTATATATGATAAATCATACATCATTTTTGTGGTGAAACTTTGATGCGCTAATTATATAAAAACTTCAAAACCGTATAATTATCTGTAAAAAATATTTATCATGTGTCAATACCTTTATGAAACATATAACATGTAAGCACATTATTTATAAAATAAATGGCATGTAACCAATATTTTTATAAATTTTAATCTATATAGGTGTCCTATGAGCAAATGTTTTTTTTAAACGACTACGACATGCAAACACAACATGTGACATGTGGAGATATGATTCATAGCGTGTATGCATACAATCATGTAAATGAATTTTCTCTAAAACAAGTATATATAAGAAAATAACCCATGGATCGCGTAATTAGGTAAGTCTTTATCTTACAAAGCATATAACATATAAATAAGTAAGTTCAAAGAAAGGGAGCTCCATAACTCTATTGTTGTTGGTTCTAATGCTTGAAAATCAGGGGCGGAGCTATGACATGGCGAGGGTGGTCAGATAAACAACCTTCGTCGGAAATTTTTTATGGGTATATATACTAAATATCGAATTTTTTGGATATATACTAACTGTTGAACAACCTTGACACAATAAATAAGGTTGACAGCCCAGCGGTTAAGGCTGTGCAAAGATGCCTCAGCGTTCCGGGTTCAAGCCCAAGTGTTGGAGTTTTTTTAAATTTTTTTCATTATTCCGTTTGTTCTCTTAGAAAAGGCAAAACTCAGCCTGGGTTCGATTCCAGACTTGAACATTTCGTTTATTTAATATTTGTTCCGTTTTTCTCTTAAGAAAAAGTACAAAAGTTACCTTTTTTAAGTTAAGGAAACAAAAGGTCTACTTTTGACTTTTCTTAATTTAAAAATTAAAAAAAAAAATCATAGCTGTCTTTTTCTTTTAGTTTTTTGTCTTCTTCTTCTCCCAAAAACCCTTTACAACTTTACTCTTTACCTTTCTCTCTTCTCAACTTTCATACATATTTACAAGTTTTAAGAAATTGGAAGCTTTAATCATTGTATATTTCTTCCTCAATCGCCATTGAAGTGTGAAAAGGTATTTCTTAATTCTTTTTTTCTTTAGTTTAGTTTTTTCTAATCATGTGTTGAAAGACTTGAATATCTTAATTTTTATGTTAAAAGCTACTTTATTTATTTGAGTATCGATCAACTATTTGGTGTATTGTGGATGATTTTTAATAAGTTTGGTATACTTGACTACTATTTCAATTTAGAGTTCAATGAGTTTGGAGAAATATTTTTTTAGAGTACCCAAAACAAGCTTGGCACCTCAAAATCAAAATCAACTACGCCGAGATGAAAATGTCAACCAAATAGAAATATCATCTCACTCTTCCCAAAGACAAAAATTTGATGTAAATGATTTAAAGGCTGATCCGGCTGAAAGAACTCCAATTTTGAATTATTATCCAAACCTTCGTGATGAGATAAGGAGGGCATACATCATTAAAGGTCCTTGTCAAATTCAAACTCATCAGTTTCCTCAAACTGATTTTTTTGGAACACTGCATCGTTTTGTTTATATGTGGTTTGATGAATATCGTGATTGTTTGGAATACAGTATTAGTGCGGATGCTGCTTATTGTTTACCTTGTTATTTGTTTCAAGGAGAAAGCTTTAATCAAGGTGGTGGTAATGTATTTTCGACTAAGGGATTTACAAATTGGCATAGAAAGGATAGCTTTGCTATACATATTGGTCCACCGAATAGCGTTCATAATCAATCCAAAAGAAAGTGTGAAGATTCCATGCGAGAACAACAATCCATTCAAGCCGCATTTTACAAGTTGGATGATAAAAGTAAGCATGAATAGCAGGTTCGTTTAAACGCTTCAATCAATGTGGCAAGACTCTTCTTGAATCAAGGTTTTGCATTTCGTGGTCATGACGAGAGTGAATCGTCATTGAACAAGGGTAATTTTCTTGAAGCTCTTTCTTGGTTAGCTGCTAGATGTGATGCAATTAAACTTTTTGTGTTAGAAAAAGCTCCAAAAAATAAAAAATGACTTTTCATGACATCTAAAAAGATATTGTGAGTGTGTGTGCGATTGAAACAATTAAGGCTATAATAGAGGATATAAATAGTGACTACTTTGCTTTATTGGTTAATGAATCTAGAGACGTGTCACGCAAAGAGCAAATGGTTATTTTTCTAAGATATGTTGACAAAATGGGGTTTGTGATGGAGGCATTTATTGGACTTGTTCATATTAAAGATACTAGTGTTTTATCTCTAAAGAAAGCAATTGTAGATGTACTTGCTCACCATTCTTTGACTTTATCTAATGTACGTGGAAAATGTTACGATGGGGCAAGCAATATGCAAGGTGAGCTAGGTGGTCTTAAAACGTTGATTAGACAAAAAAGTAGATCGGCTCATTCTGTTCATTGTTTTGCTCATCAACTGCAATTGACTCTTGTTGCGATTTCTAAAAAGTGTGTTCAAGTAGGTGAACTTGTATTATTAATTTCAAATATTTTGAATGTGTTGAGAGCTTCTTTTAAACGTGTGGATAATTTTCGAGAATCTCAAAAAAAGCATCTCCAAATGGCATTGGATATGGGTGAACTAGAAACGGGTAGAGGGTTGAATCAAGAACTTGGTCTTGTTAAAGCCAGTGATACTCATTGGGGATCTCACTACAAGTCATTTGGAAACTTTATTCGTAGCTTTGACTCTATTGTTGATGTAAAATGCAAGTACTTTGGAAGAAAGAGCAAGCACATCGGAATTTCTCAGAAGTTGTCAAACGTTTGAGACTATTTTTTTGTTGCATTTGATGACTGATGTTTTAGGAATCACAAATGATCTTAATGTTTCATTACAGAAAAAGGAGCAAGACATTGCAAATGCCATGATTCTTGTAAAGGTAGCAAAGAGAAGGTTGCAAGCTTTAAAAGATAATGAATGGGATCCTCTCTTAAAAAAAATATTGGATGGGATTCACTTAAAGAAAAGGTAGAAGCATTTTGTATCAAGCATGGCATTTCATTACCCAATTTTGATGATCCATATGCTAATTCTGGGAGATCACGACGTAAAGTAGCTATTTGTACTACTTTGCATCATTATCGTGTGGATGTGTTTTATAAAATCATTTATTGGCAACTACAAGAAGATAATGATCGTTTCAATGAGGTGACAAGTGATTTGCTTAATGGAGTATCTTGCTTGAATCCAATTGATTCATTTTCTAGTTTTGACATAAAGAAGATAATGAGAATGGGTGAATTATATCCTAATGATTTTGATGGGTCCAACATGAGAGCTCTTGAGAATCAACTTGTTAATTACATTATTGATGTTCGTGATATTGATGAAAGGTTCTCCAATTTGGGTGGACTTGAAGAACTTTCAAGAAAGTTGGTTGAGACAAAGAAGCATTTAACCTATTCTCTCATATTTCTTTTAGTGAAGGTTGCTTTGTTTCTACCTGTTGCCACTGCTACAGTTGAAAGAGCTTTTTCGGCAATGAAGATTATCAAGAATGACTTGCGAAATTAAATGGATGATGAATTCTTAGATGGTTTCATAGTGCCTTATGTAGAGAAAAAAGTATTTAAAGATGTTTCTAATGAGTGTATTATGAAAACATTTCAAGAGATGAAGTGTCATCGAGTGCAATTGTAGTTACCACTTTACATATTTTGGTGTGTATGAAACTATCCGTCAATATATTTGTCCTACTTCATCTTCCTTAGTTTATCCATTGATATTTTGTAAGTTTCCGTTTTAAGAATTTTTATTTTGGATAGTTGGTTAATTTGATATTGAACAGGTAAAAGAGTATGAACAACTTGGAGCATTATGTAGAAATTAATAATTGAGGTATGACTATTTTGAAGCCAATCTTTATAATCTAACTAGCAAGGTTTATTTTTTTACTTGTCCTAAAGTATGAACACCCGTGGCGAAAATCCTGGCTCCGCCACCGTTGAAAATACTCACCTGGTCTCCTTGAATCTTACTACGTTCAAGTGATGATGGACCTCATGATAGCTCTTGATGAAATATCACTTTCTAAGAAAACATATGATAACGAAGGAACTAGTACACAATGGGTGTATTGAAAAACTATTGATGAAAGTAAACATCCTCTTCCTCCTCATTTTAATAATCTTCCTCCCAATATTTATCCTCCATTTTTTCATATTCTTTGATGTGCTTGTGTCTGTCTCATACTCATGATACCACATGCTTTTGATTTAGGGCTCTAAGGGCTTAATCTGGTACATGTGTGCTAATTTTATTTCTCATTGAAGATCTTGATTATGTGTGTGTAACATGACTAATATCCTCATATTAACTTACCTTATTGTTAGCAGAAGTGTACTAGAAAATGTTGTCCAAGTGGATGAGCTAAAATGATATTGCACACATTGTATGTTCATCGAGTTCTTTCATGGTTGGTTTTTAATGATGCCAAAAGGGGGGAGTTAAATGATGTGGGTCAGGGACATATTGTACATTATTTGTGATCATCAAAAAGGAGGAAATTGATGGGAATAAGAGAACATGATATTTGTAGTTTTGATAATTGACAAAGTGTTTTGATGTTTGATAAAGTAAACAACGATGCATTGCTAGGGAATAAGAGAACATGATGTTTGTAGTTTTGATGATTGACAAAGTAAATTATGATGCGTTGTTTATTATCGTCAAAGAGGGAAAAATTATTGAGAAGTAGGAGAACATAAGTAGTTTTGATGATTGATAAAGTGAACCTGGTTCACTACTTAATGTCTTATGTGCACTCTATCAGGTGAACCAGGTCCTCAGATGTGAATGCGGACAGCCTATACAGATACGGGAGATTGCGGGAAAGAAGGAAACTAATAAAGTTTATAAATAAATGAGCAAAAAAAGGAAATAAAGAAATAGCTGAAACAAAGGAGCAAAGAAAGAAAGAAATAAAGAAAAAAAAGAGGAAAGAAATAAGAGTACAATGAAAGTCCAAAGAGGAGTCAAAATTTCCTTATAGGATGAAACTTCTTTTAAGAAAGGGAATTAGTCAAAGTTTCCTTATAGGATGAAACTCATTTTAAGGAAGGAAATCGGTCAAAGGTTCCTTATAGGAGGAAACTCCTTTTAAGAGGACAAGTCCTACTCGAAGTAAGAGTCCTAGTCCATTATATACTAGGGCATGAAAAATCTCTAGTATATATATGACATGAAGACCATTGAAAGCCGCACCTATTGCATATTCATTAAATCATCATCTTGAGAGCAATAGTCATTGGAGCAAAACTTTAAGACTTTGTCACAGCAACACTGGAATCGGGTTCATGAGTTGTGTTCAAGTCTGTACTATAGAATATTAAAGTTTGATTAATTAAAGACTAGGGTTTATTAGTCTTTGTTGAGTTGTAATAATTCCTAGATTGAAAAACAAGAAGCGGGTTTGTCTTCTTGAAGAGTAGTTAGTGAAGTTTGTAAGAAGAAGCGAGTTTGACGTCTTGGAAAGTGAGTTTGTGAGAATTGTAACAAGAAGTGGGTTTGACTTCTTGGAGAGTAGAGAAAACGTTTGTAGTTAATCGTTGAACAGTTTGAGTGAGTTGTTGAGGTGAAAAACTAGAGTTAGTCCATTTGATTATTGAGTTGTAATCTAAAGTTGTTCTTTGAGGTTAGTGGAGGTTGCTGAAAATCCTACAAGTTGTAGGTCGTGATTTTTTAATTCTCTTGAGCAAGAAAGTTTTCCATGATAAATTAAGTGTCATTTACTTTATCTTCTAATACGACTCGAGGAACTAGGTTCCTAAAAATAATTGTTGGTGCGTAGTTTCTTTCAATTGGTATCAGTCGCTCCATCAACATCTCGGAAAGGCGCTTTTCTAACCAGGTCACCACTCTTCAACGGGCAATACTATGGATAGTGAAAGAACGTGATGATGGATTATATTATCAGAGAAAATCATGATTTGTGAAATGTAGTTCTTGATGGGCCAACCATTCCCACCAAACTTGGCAAAGATATAGGAAGAGGTTGATTCCAAAAGAAAAACTTGAATTAGATGCTAATGATAAAATTGTTGTTCAAAATAATGTCAAGGCAAAAAAGATTCTAATGTGCTGAGTTGGTCCAGATGAGTACAGTAGAATTTCATCCAGCTCCACTACCAAATAGATTTGGGACAGTGTGCAGACAGCCCACGAAGGTACTAGTCAGGATAAAAAAGAGTGGGTGGAATTCTGCTTAGCTAATTGTTGCAGCCATGCTCATGCTCAAGTATATTGTGCACCTAGAGTTGAAATTCCTATCCTTTTTTCTGTATGTTTTAGATGGTCAGATGGTCTTTTACTGTGATTTATTGTTGCCTTAGTTATGCCCCTTCATTATTTTACAACCTGTCAAAACATTGCTTCTTGTTGTTTTTTTTTTGTAATATAGTAGTTGTTTCCCTTCATCTTACACCTTTATAAGGTGAATTGAAGTATGAGTATTCTTGAATGAAAGCTGTTTTGATAGCTTAGTACTAAATAATTTAGGAGCAATCCATAACATACGTCTCGCTTCATAAATAAGTATGAGTACATTACAAAAGTCAATACTAAATAATTTAGGAGCAATCCATAACATACATCTCGCTTCATAAATAAGTATAAGTACATTACAAAAGTCATCTATATTGTTCGGACTCTTCAAAAATATTACCACGTTGTTCCATAGTGCATTTTTGGAAGATCCGACATATGTGCAACAATATCTTCGGAGAGTTTGAGCATCATAAGAAGCCAAATAGATATCCCTTGTCAAACCCCTATTCAGCTTTCTAGGGAGGACAATGGCGGTGTCTCTGAATTTATCCAAGTTGACGACATGTATACATGTCTCTCACCTTTGACAACATCACCAGAGGTATACGATTCGAGTTCTTTCATGTCTTCCACTGTCAATTTTACAGATAAGGCTCCTACGTTTTCGTTGAAGTTTTCAATCTTCGTAGTGCCTGGTATAGGGCATACATCATCTCCTTGGTGAAGAATCCATGCCAATGCTAATTGTGAAGGAGTGCATCCTTTCCTTGCAGCCATTAGATTGATTTTCTCAAATACTTGCTTATTATGCTCAAAATTCTCTGGCTTGAACCTAGGGAAATTCTACAAAGCAAACCAGCAAAATAATAAATTGATGTTGCAGTTGAAATACAAAGATACATTCATGCAACCATTACACTAGCTATATATTTCACGGACCAAAAAGGTTGTGCCAAAATGTTTATCTTGATAGATTGTGTGTTATATCAGTCACCAGATGCATCGATGAAAGGGTGAGTTGGAAGTTTAGGATAATTTTTCCTGAACCTGGAATAACAACTGCAATTATAACTATGCCTCAATCACAAATAAGTTGGAATCGACTACATGAAGTTTTGACTTCTCCACTTAAGTTTAACTCACGTCATCATCATATCAGATAAAATAAAAGCAAAATATAAGTTGAATATATAAAACAATATTCGAAGTTCTTAAAAAAAGACTAAATCCTACTCTCCACGGCTTAGATATCACCTATATATGGTTCTTTATCTTCTATTGTGCCATATTTTTTGCTAAGTATGCATTTATCCTTAGAAATTTGTAAGTATTTCAAGATTCTACCTCATCTCCTTTTCAACACCCCCACTCGCCATAGTTTCACACCTACAAACTGGTGCATCTGTAGGTCGACACAAGACATGTCAAACCATCTCAAGCGCACTTCTCTTATTTCATTCTCAATGTTACTTGCACTTCTAGCGAATATGGATCATGTTTAATTTTATTTAATATTTATATGATCACATATCCAACTTAGCAGTTGGTCAAATTACTGCATGCTTGGTAAAACCATATCACTTTATGCTTAGTTAGTGTCGGGCAGTTGGATTCAAAGACATCAGCATGTCCATAAACCAGTAGAATTTCCAAATTACAAGAAGGCTTACTATAAGGACTAATATATTTCATTAAGCTATTCCTAGAGAAGCTGTCAATAGAAATGTCATTGCTATTATTCTGCATTTTATGTATCCAGTACAGGTCATGATCATCAATCACCATAGTTAAAAGGCGGTCTGAGGAAAAGGCATTTTATGAGCATGATTTGGCAAAGGCTTTACCTTACAGGGCATTTTGAGAATCTCTGTAAAACATCAATGCACAAAGAGATAACAAGATACTAAATTCAAATGCAACTAAAAACATCAAGTTGATGCTCGCTGCAAATTTGCAGCTTACATGTCTATAAAACAGAAAACACAAAACAGTCAAAGTTTTGATTTATGTGGTCTAACCTTGCGAAAGTCACCATCAGGCAAGCTTTCAATCAACTTTGCCCCTGCTGAGAAGAATCCTCGTCCAAGAGGACTATAAGGTACAATCCCTATGCCAAGTTCTCTGAAAATGACAAGTATCAGAACAAACACTCATTTGCTAGTAATTCAACGCAAGGGGGTTGACCTAAGATATGTGTCACCTGCAAGTAGGAACTACTTCTTCCTCCAGATCTCTAGTCCACAAAGACC